TGGCAACGTCAGGAACATACGTAACGGAGGTTCCCCTGAAAGGTTCGGCGGAGAAGCACTACAAGATGTGGAAACACGAAGGCCACCTCTTCCCCGAAGCCATCGGCAACCATATGATTCATGGAGTCGCCATGCACGACGGCGATTGGCACACTCATGGCGCAATCAGATCATGGGACTACACATGTGGTCTCTTCCTAAACTCTTTTTTCTCTTTCACTCTACGTACATACAGGGCTCGTCCTGGGCCTAGGCGAACAAGACCCATGCTTTGTGTCCCAAAAAATTCTGATTTTTTAGTATTATAAAATGGCCTCCAATTTTTTTGTATTTTATAAAAATAGACCTCCAAATTTTTAAAATCTTAACATTTGTTTTCAACAATTTCAGTTGAATGATCAAACACGAGTTTGTAAAGGTGATTTGTAGCTTTTCCACTACTATCTTATTGGTGTAAAACAATGAAATTAGTGATTTCATACCATTTGTTTTCTTTGATTTTTAAAATGTAATAGTCTATCAAATTTTGGTCTATAAAGTCTGAATTTTGGAACCCTGTAAAAAAACAAAATAGTTAACTATTTTTGAAGATAAAAATTAATTGTTGGGAAAACATTTGAATATACTTACATGTTCATCAGATAAAATAAAATCTGTAATTTTTTCGGCGATTGTTGAATCTTGGTTCGATGCACGTAGTACCTTAATATTTAGTTAAAGTTAGTTAACTATGTAAATATGGTATTTGATCCATTTTACATAAAATATAAAATATAGTAAACGACATATGAAAAAAGTAGAATAAATTATATAGATTATGAAATACTTTTACATGAATATGCCATGTATTTGTGGTGTTCCTTAGATATGTAACATTAGCATCTAAAAAAATTTGACCATTAGAGCATATGAAAAAAAAGAGAAGAAGAACTTTTGTAGATTTTTATGATGGTGAATTGGTGATTGTAACACCGAGAAACTCATGTGGACTTATATAGAATATATTATGGCTCAAAAAGAACAAATAACGGCCCAATGAGATTTAGAGTATCAAATTGTAAGGTATCTACTGAGGATATCCAACAAATATACTTAAAGAAAATATTGACAAAAGATATTATAATTTGTCCATGATAGAAAGCTTATAGCCATGTATTTATTTTTAGTCGTGCATAATTTCATAGAGGAAATATGTATATGTTGTATTCAATTCCATTTTCTATCATGAACAAATTATTTAAATCTTGCATGCATATGTAAAATTGATGTCAAAAGAAAATCTTGCATGCATTTCGGTCAGTAATATGTATCTGGCGAGATTACATGCATATGGAAGATTGATGTCAAAAGAAAAGATTGGTTTGAATCTAGACCATCGTCAAGCGTTCGCATTCTTTAATATAGTTAGTATTTTTTTCATCATCAATTTATTATTAATAAATTAACATAGAAATCATAAATTAAATCTAGTATTTTTTAATTAGGAATCCATGTCATCATTTTTCTATAGACATGTCATAATTTTAAACCAATCAAATTATAACATCTAAGAAGATTAAATAATTATACTTGGCTTTTAATAGGAAGGGGATTACTGATTAATAGTTATGTTTTGATATATTTAAAAACAAAATTAATTATGTTAAGACAAAAACAAAAAAATACGTAATTTCAATTTTTTTTGGAGGAAATGTATTTTTTTTAAGAATAAATTAAAGGTTAACTCTAGATCCACAAATATTAAGATTTAAACCCGAACTCTGAGATTATTAAAAAAAAACGTAGAAAACTATAAAAAAAATGGAGGAGCGAGAACAAATTAACATCTTCTCGTAAAAAACAAAATAAAAAAATATCTACCTTTCAGCTTACAAATTCTTCTTGGTTCCATATTTTCATTCCATGTCCTTTCAAACTGTTTTTTT